GGCGAAAGCACATTAAATCCAACTTTTTTGTCCCTATGCGACCCATATCCGATCATGGTATGTCAGTGTGAACAGCACAAATCTGATATGTCCAAATCCGACCTGGGTCCCTTTCGCATGTGGTCCTGAATCCGATACATATCTGATGTTTTAGAAAGCGACTGTTGTTTGAATGGTCATGTCGCATTAAATCCGTCTTTTACGTCACTGACACAAGACAGACGCCAATTATCAGCGCCCGAGAAGACAACGTGAACGCTTCCTGGCCATCCAGTGTAGATGTTAGTGAAACTGTTTGGAAGACAACGTTGGAGAAACGTGAACATTTTATTTGTACTGTATAATCTGCAGATTCTGACAGAAATCTGCAGCTATCCTTTGAAGCACCGCTCCTCTAAAACAGCAATAAGGATAATTATTAGGCCATACTGAGGTCTTGGGCCATGGTCCATTTACTGAGGTCTGCTAGTCAGCCGCTAGACTTTAACTTCATTATACATAAAGAGAAATAAGGAACACATCCACATAACCGTCTATAACCACATTTTCTTCTAATGTTTAAATGCCTTATGCTCTAAAACAGCTAAAACAAAGACAGTATGTGAGATACAGCTCTTATCATCACTTATTCAAACTTTTTTCAGTTGCTGTGTGGACGGGAAATCCCCCGCTGGGTCAACAGACTGGCGTACTTCAGCTCCTGCATCCCTTTCCTGCAGAGCTGCCTACCCAAGGAGTGGTTAACCCCGGCCGCCCTGCAGAGCCACATCAGCCTCGGCCTTCACAAAGAGGAGCATAACGAGTCGAGCGACGAGGACCCTTCGTCGCCGTCTGGAGCCACGGCCGCTGGCTCGGGCTCCTCCCACAGCTGTCGTCACACCAGAGTGTGACGTGACCTCTGGACCTTCTCACCACTGCTTCTGATGGCATTTGTAGGCTTGAACAACCACCTGACCTCATACTGTTTGTCCTCTGTGTAAAAGAGGCAGGAAAAGAAGAGTTTCCTTTTTGAAAAGAGAGCTGCTGCCAGAGACTTCAGGCCTACAGACTTACAGAGAAGCCGTTTGTCCTTTCAGCAGACGACAGCATGACGAGGGCATGCTTTTCCCTGAGCCCTGAAGTGCGTGTCTGATTTTGACAGTGACTACTTGTAGATCTGAAGTTTGTAGTATGTTATTATTAGTCTTTTCCACAAACTTTGAAATCTTTGTCAGCCTTGTTCCCTGCCCTGCCTTCAGAGCTGCTTTTGTAGAATGACCACATAGACACTGGATGGTTACGTCAGCAGGAATCTGCTCGACTCCAACAAGTTCTCGTTCGATAACCTCTATGTGGCCTTTGCCTGATGTTGTTGATTCGGCTTTCTTTGTTTGGAACTTTTCGTTGGCCATTTTAGAGGGTTAACGGGTAAAAAAAAAAAGGAAAAAGATTTGATTGTTCCCTGAGTTCAATCTGAGTGAGTAAAAGTCCTGCATGTGGAAAGAAATAAACAAAAGATCACACTTAACTTACTTCAGATAGAAGCTCCTTCTTCTATTTTTTAAAGCGATTACCTTCGTTCAAGCTTGTTTTAAACATAGACGGTTTGAAACAATCAAGGGCAAACAGTGCCGCTGTGCACACAGCCTCGGACAGCCCAGTCACGATCTGTGAACATCTCAGAGACACAAACACAAAGAAAGTCAAGCTGCTACTCTGACAAATATTGACTTTGTGACCCAGAACACATTTTGTCTATACTTTTATATCCAAGTGATCTTTATATTATAAAGGTGCGTTAACTTACAGAAAGGGAAAATAGACATTTACAGACAGATTTCCCCTGGATGACATCTTTTTCACCTTTGAGACCGAGCTGCCACGAGAAAGAACGACAGACATTCAGTGTTTCCTCTAAATTGCAGAAGTCATTAAAGATAATGTTCTTTTTAAATACCCCTGTTGGCTCTCTTGCCTAGATTTAAAATACAACATAAAGTCCATGTTATGCCTCTACAGTTAATATCGAGTTACAGCCAGCAGGTAAACATCACTGAAGCTCAGAGTTATATTGTGTTTGTTTAATCAGACTAAGGCGTAGGACTGGAAAAAAAGACCTGTGGGGCTTTTTCTTGACTGGGACCAGTCACAGAGAGACACCTGGTTCCAACCAAAAAAGGAGGTTGTTGCACAGTGTTTGTGAATATTAAACAAGCCATATACAACATGTTAGAGGTGTTAGCGGAGGATTATGTGACCTTTTTACAGAACCATGCTAGTCCTTGTAACTAGTTCCTGTCATGCTAAACTGAGGTAGACAGTTTCTTAGATATGAATCCTATGAACATTAGCCTGGTGATAATATCGCAACAGTATAAAAGAGCATTTTTCCTAATATAAAACTGTTAACTAAGTACATATTATATTGATTGATTTCCCCAGTGATGTTTTTACAGAAAGTATTTGAGCCTTTTAAAATAATGAGTCATTATGAGGAGATAGAGAGAGAGAAGCTCACGTTCTCAGAGGGGGGAAATTGTGATGTCGTAAAATTAGTTCCAGTCACTGCAGGTTTAGCATACATGTCAGTAAAAGACGACATCAATGACTTTGGACCCTGATTAAGAAACTGTTACAACGATGAAGACCTGCTCCTTGCTTGAAGAAGACGAGGCCACGTGTTTGAATCTTTGTTCCCCTCCTCTCCTGCTGTGGTGCGTTGAAGGACAGCTTTCTTTTCTCAGGAAGGAAATCACATACTTGTAGTAGTGACAGTCATCCCGTTCATAAATGGGCTCAAAAGTGCAAATTAACTTTTTCATTTTATTTTCTTCTTGTTCATAAATAAGCTACCGTATCTCCCTATATGTTGGCATATTCTTAGTTTTTTTGAAGTGTGCTGTGATCAACTTTTTGGTTCATTTTGAGTTGATAGGGAGAGGGAGTGTACAGTGATCAGTACTACATGCTCAAAAGTCTTCAACACTTTCTACAAAGCAAACCAGACAGGTTTTTTTTTTTCTGTTGTACTGTGTCAACCTAAACCTTGTATTTGTTTTTCCTAACCCAGGACAATTTTAACAATGATGATAGTGCTAGAATAAAAGAGATGGAATCCTAAGTGATGCCTGGCTTCTTCTGTTATAGTCCAAAATATGGGCACTGGAGGACCATAACACATATATTTGTATATTTCAAATTATCATTCACATTTTTAGTATAAAATACTTATTCTTTTATCTTTTGGATGTTCAGTACTGCGAAAGAATCATGAACCACCCCTCATTTCTTTATATTTTAATAGGAAAAGGTGAAAGAGGTGCAGCAATTTATTTAAATGTGCAAAGATACATGGAAATACAAGAACAGGGTTTGTACAGTTTTAATGAGTTTGTTGAAGCAGAGAAATTGGCGACAATGTTGCAAGAAAGAAGCCATTAAGAAAAGACAGGAAGGAAGGTCTGACTGAAGAAACTGAAACAAACAAAGAGAAAGTTAGAAAAAAGGCACAGCTTTCCAAAATGTTTCCACGGGAGTGTTAATAGTTAAAGAAAAATAATTTAAAAATGTTTGCAGTGCAGTAAGAATAACACATTTTTTGGTCAACTTGAAAGAAATGCATATGTGAAAATAAAAGAGAGATCAGAGGTCAATTGGGACTATCCATGTGATACTTAGAATCCCAGTTTACCAGTATTGTTTCCTAAATGTTGCCAATACAAAGAAAGGCTGTGGGATTTTAAGCATAGTGTTAAAGATAAAAGTCATTTTTTGTAAGTCTGGCCATATTTGACCTTGAAGAAGAGGTCAGAGGTCAATTGTGACATAATATTTCAAATCTTTTAAGGTATTTTTTTTATATGTCGACAATACACACGAAACAGGTTACAAGACTTTTTGTCAGCTGTTGACCAATAAATCATTAAGTTCACCTTGAAGACATCAGTGGATGTGAGACAGATTTTAATGGATCATTAACATGAACTCACTCTACACCCCTACAAAGTTTTATCAGAATTAATTCAAAACTTTTCAAGCTGTCTTGTTTACAGACAGAATGACAGGCACTCATGCAAATAATATCGAACGCATCGCCTCCTTGGTGGAAGTAATAAACAGGAAGCCAGATAAAGTTAAAGAAAAAAAAGAACGTGGATTGCAATAAAAAGTCATTTTCAATGAAAGGTGTGCTAGTTTAAGATTTGATATGAAATAAGGAATACAAGAAAAAGATTTAAATTAAAAGGTCAAAGTCTACACCTTTACATGCAGTATTTTGTCTTTTTACATGCAATTCTATTTTTTACTCTTATTATTTTATTTTAACTGCAATTGTATGCATTGCCTTTTGGTATTTTGGAAAAACGTGTTTGACATTATTATTAGTAGTAGTAGTAGTAATTATTTTAAAGACTTGCGTTTTAACTTCCTAACACAGCCAGGCTTTCATTTGTTCATGCCATGGTAAGAGGTACTTATAAATTGGTTTATAAAGAACAAATTCAATATTGATAAACAGAGTAAGAGTTTTGTGAGTGGCAAGTTTACGCTTAGGTTTGTGCTTCAGCACGGTTAGGAAATGAGGCCCGTAGGGCTTGCGATACAGGATGTGAAAAAAATGTTTTAATTTTCTTGAAAACTAACCCTACTTGTGATATATTATGTACTAATTTTAATAATCCTTAAGGAAATAATATCATAAAGGAGTAAAATCATTGCAACTAGTATGAAAATTACTTAAGATTAAGGCATGCAGAAAGCTGCGTACCCAAGAATAGGCTGATATGAGTTGCCAAATCTGTGTCTTATCCTCCTTTCAAGTATTCGAAGACGCTAACCTTAATGCATGTACTCGTTTGTCGTTTGCACACATTCTTTGTTATTTTATGTGGATGGTTTATTATTTTAGCTGTAAATATTACTGGGGGTAAAGCCCATGGCTCTCACAGCGTAAACCTAGTTACGCGTTACCTGCTGCAATCACGTGACACTGTGAGGGCAGCAACGCATTTTGCGGTCTCTGCTCTTTTTATGCTCACTCGCCATTTTGATTCAGCACAGTCGGTGACCTACTTTGAGCAGGAGCGAGCCAGCAGCGAAAGCAACAAGGCCCAAGCAGCTCTGTTAGGAACAAAGAAACAGGTGAGCGGTTATTAAAGCGTATTTGTGTTATTTCAAGGATTTTGCGATTTTTGTCAAACGTTAAATTGGCGCGTTCTTCACGCTGAAACCGAAGTTAGGTCACAGGCTAGCTTCGGCTAGCTGGGGATGACCTCGAGGCGAGCGTCAAGAACGAAATTGCGATGAGGCCTGCTTGTGCTTACTGTTACCCAGCTAATATAGCACATTATTTGTCAGATCCGCAGTCTTTTACATCCCCTTACCAGCGATCCTCTAATTTAAGGTAGGATTGCAATAATAATCGACGCCGATGGTTTATCTGAGGCCGATTGGCAAGGCCCCAAGTCATTTTTCTGGTGTCTCATAATCGGAGAGAATCGATTATTTAATCATTATTTATTACCTACAATGCAATCGGACTATTTTTTTTTCTCCTTTGATGCAGATCCATTGAGCTGTTTTAACGGGCCCCTTGATCGCCGTTGTTGTGCTGTCTGCACATTTCATATCGCATAAGAAGAAAATGTGTGGAAATACCTGTAAATATTGATAAACGCGCTTTAAATTACAATTTAGCCGTGAGAATGATTGTACGGTTTCAGTCAATAGCTCCATACAAAACCGTCTTCCATTTTGAGCTCGATGATGCAAATAGCCTGCGAACCGTCGGGGTACGCTAAGCCCTTTTTTGTTTTTTTTGGCTTACAAGCTAAACTACACTCGTTTAAACCGGAGAGGGATCATGGTGCGTGTTCCGATCCTGTTGAGCTTTGTTCAGTTTGCCAGGGGCCTGTTTTTCACCCTAGCTTGAGTGTATTGCAAGTCTCTTTACGTTATTTGTCATGCAAATCTAAAACGGATTAACATAATTAATTTTGCTAAAGTTTCATAAAATACATATAGTTTAAACTATCTGCTTTTTTTTTCTTTTTGTGGTTAATATTTAATTTAGAAAATGGTTGATTAACTTGTATTTTTGCAGCGGATGTGACCTTTGTTTCAAGGGGTGTGGCCTGCTTATCTTGGCCATAAAAGGCAGCACATGACTAGCACATAAATAAAAAGCAACGAGTAAACACTGAGCTAGATGCTGTTAACTAATTACTCTTTCATCTCAGCTGATAAAATCATCATGAGTGGCTGCCGTGTCTTCATTGGACGCTTGAGTCCTCACGCCAGAGAGAGAGATGTGGAGAAGTTTTTCAAGGGCTATGGTCGCATCCGTGAGATCAACTTGAAGAATGGGTTTGGCTTTGTGGTGAGTTTGAGCATTTTTTTTGTGCAAAGTGAGAGTTTTCAAAGTGTTTTTGCTTATACATAATCACATTTTCCTCTTCCTTTCAGGAATTTGATGACCACAGAGATGCAGATGATGCTGTGTATGAGCTAAATGGCAAAGAACTGTGTAGTGAACGGTAATGATGTTGTCTTTATGTCTTATTTGGTGGGTGTGGGTCGGTTACATTTGACTTTTTTCCAGCAAGATATAATTGCTACTTTATCGCAGCTTATTAAGTTTATTTTTTGAGAACCTTACAAGCTGTTTATACTCTATTACCGAGCAGCTTCTTCATTTTATAAGTAAATTTCCTTGGCTGGTCCCGGTTCCTCTTTCTGTGCTGTTAGACTGCCACAGACCTTTTAAAGGCTCATTTGTGAGTGTTTGACACAACTCATGAGGCCCTTCAAAACAAGAAGTAAACATTCAGACAGTGGCTGGAAAGGAGAACTAGTTCCAAGTTATTAAGAATAATTTCTCTGAGCTGATAACTTCTTTTTCCTCAGTCTTGCTTATCGCAAAATAATGACGTCAGGCTCCCTGTGGTGGAGCTGTCGCATGCCTGAGTCACATGGAGCACACACATTTAATCAGATATAATTACTTTGTATATAATCTGATAACACTGATTGAACCTCTTTTTTTGCCCATCAGGGTCACTATTGAGCATGCTCGCTCCAGAAGAGGAAGAGGTGGCGGCCCTGGAATGGGACGTTTCGGAGGCGGCGGCGGCGGTGGTGGTGGTGGCGGCGGCGGCTATCGTCAATCTCGCAGCAGTGGATCCAGGTACAGCACATTTTCAGTAGCTTCCTTTAAAACAAAGTAATAATTTTATAAAAAGCACTTAAAGATAATATTCATGTAAAAAGAAATAATGATGTTAAATAAATAAAATTCTAATAAATGGACAGATGCAGGTTAAATATTGATATTAGGTTGTAAACCTCTGACACGTGATAACAGATCCTGTTACGTGGAAACTGGGTGTGACAATAGTTTATCTGGTCCAAAGTCAAATACAGTCCTGTGACAGCTCAACCAATATTATACAAGCTGGAAAGATACACATACAAATTTGCATACATGTGGCAGGAAAGTAGGATTGAGAGTCTCTAACGGACTACACTAAAATAGGATTGGCCAGTGTTGAGTTTCACCTCTGAAGCAAACTCAAATATTTACAGAACCCTAAGGTAGACGGTGAACGTGACGAGACACCAGCCGTGTTTTCAGGCACAAAGGCAGATCCAGATGCGGATGCATTCACCGGATCTGTGCTCCTTACAGAAAATGTAATCAAAGCTGTGCTGGTGTTTGTTGCCTCTGCAGATATGGCCCTCCAGTGCGGACTGACCACAGACTCGTTGTGGAGAACCTGTCTTCGCGGACGAGCTGGCAGGTAAGAGACAACAGGACACAAGCTTTTTAAAATGACCTAGTTTTGTAAAGGAGCAAAATTAATTTTATTGGCCGGGTCAGTTTCTTTAAACACACAAGGTACAGAAAACAACACATACCAGGAAATTTTCTATTTACTATAGGAAGCCCCCTAGTGTTTATAAATACTTTTTCTTTTTAAACACTTTTTTTTTTCTTTTTCTTTTTTTCCTCCACACAAAAGCACATTTTATTACTGATGCCAGGCATTCTAACAAAAACATTTAACTGTTTTTATTTTATTTTTTTTTCAAACAGCTGCTCTGATATGGTTTCCTTTGTATCAGAGGTAAATGCACACCCTCCACTGGGTGTCACAAGTGTGTAGCGCCCTCTGCTGGTTGTTTTTCTGAATAGTGTCCATTTGGTGCCTTTCCTTACACGCAGTTGCCGCTGATGTAAAGTCTTGGCTGGGCCCAGTAACGGGTGAGAGTGGTCTAGCGCAGGATACGGTAGCCTTAGGAGGTCCGTAGCCACAGTCTGGAGGTTCTGTGGGCTGGCACTCCCGACTGATGTAACCCCCCTCAAATCCACGGTCCCTACACTCTCCCATTTGGGTCTTTTTCTGTTGCTGATGGAGCTGTGGGGGGTGTTGGGTCGGGCGCACACCCCTCCTCCTTGATCTCTGGTGGTTCCTTACTTGTGGAGGCCGGATGCTGAGTCAAGGCCGAGGGCGTTTCTCAAGGGCTTAACACTGCATTGGTTCCCATTTGCTATTTGGACAAGTGGCTCTATGCTAATATCTTCCTGGGTATGGAGCGGTAAGTAGCATAAAACTCATGTGATTGGGTTTGTTTAGGGTCGGGTGGTAACGGGGTGTAGAGTTACAGTCCTAAAGGGGACTCACGTAAACAGTGTATCTCTGTTGAGCCAAATCTCTTTAGAACTAATACATCAACAAAAAGGAAGTCCACATTAGGGGTTTTTTCCACCTACCCATAGTTTTGCCTGTAAGTACATAGCATTATCTCAATCGTATAAATAGTTGGCATACAGAAATTCATCCGTTCACCCAAAAAACCAAACACAGTTCTATGTTACCCTTCAGGCGTTTTATAATACAATTCAATCTGGTTTTGTTTGATGTGCTTAAAAATATAATTTAAGGGTACAAAAGGAATTTAAAAGAATAAATAAATGAAAAAGCAACACTTGTCCACTCTCAAAATGCAATTTGTGTGGCTCTTTTGTTTACGTGGCCTCCACTGAAATGGAAGCTTATCACTAAGTGACAAACGTCAGGACTAGATGACCCAAGTTTCAGTGGTTTCTTGCTGCCTGTTCATTTCTCTCCCTCCAGGTCTGAGAAGGCTCTCACTGACACCTCAGGTTTCATTCCCCGTTGCTAACCCGCCTTTATGCTTTTAAAAATAGGACCTGAAGGACCTGATGAGGAAAGCAGGGGAAGTTACCTTTGTGGACGCTCACAGACCCACCAAAAACGAAGGGTGAGTTGCTGTTTTTTGAGTTGAGCCTTTCTGTATTCCTAATGTGAACTGTTTGTCCACTAATTTCTCTTTTCATGCAGGGTGGTTGAGTTTGCATCCCGCAGTGACATGAAGAATGCCATATCCAAGCTTGATGGGACAGAACTGAATGGTCGCAAGCTGAAGATGTTTGAGGACAGCAGAAAGTAAGGTTTTTTAATTTATTTTAGGTTGTATCCATAAATTGTTCAGGAATTTTCAAGGTTTCAAGTCAGTTTGACAAACTGTTAAGAGATTTAATATTTTATTTTGAAAAGCCGAAACATTGTGTTGTAATTGCGTGCTCTCTCTCTCTCCCCGCAGTCACAGCAAGAGCCGCTCTCGCTCCCGCAGCTACTCCCGCTCAAAGAGTCGCTCCAGGAGCCGCAACCGCTCCAGGAGCCGATCCAGATCCGCCAGCCGGACTCCCGAGAAGAAGACGTCAGGAGGGGGCAAGGCTTCAGCCAGATCCCCGTCCCGCTCCAAGTCTCGCTCCAAGTCGCGCTCCAGATCTCGCTCGCGTTCACCTGCACCGGCTCAGGACAAACAGTCTCCCCGCTCTCGTTCCCGCTCTCGCTCTCGCTCCCAGTCCCGCTCTCGTTCCCGCTCCGCCTCAGCAGACAGCAAACACTGAGATGGGTACACCTGTATGTTGTAACATAGACTTGTAGTTGCTCGGTGTGGGTCTAAGTCTTTTTCCTTTCTTTTTTTTCCTTCTTTGTTTTAGTGAAGGGGATGCATTGCCTTTTTATATGGCTTCTTTTGAAATAAAGACTGTCATTAATGACACTTTCGTGTTTATTATTTGTAAATCTTAATTTTGGATGCGTCTCCGTAGAAGGAAGTTTTGTTTTTGTGAGATTTATGTATCCCATCTTTGTACAGGCATTTCATATATATGAAATACTCAGTTGGTGATGATGCCCGTTACAGTCTAAGCTGTCTGCCATGTTTTGATTCCATCCAGCACTCTGTGGCTTTTGGTCACGTCATTGATTCTCCAAAATGTTGACGAGTATGTTTTGGTAATGCGAGCTCCCGGTTGTTGCTGTGATTACGCTTGTGATGACGTATTTGTACACGTTTCATTCACTGCCCTGATATGTGAATCTGCAAAGACTTCAGCTAGTTATTTGTCTGGATTTTTTTTTTCATTTTTGTAATGGATTTAGATTTGTTTTTAAATCACGGCCTTATTCCACCTGCTGAGTTTTCTTAATCTCCACCCTATTGGGTGTTGAGGGCCTGAACACGTTTGTCTCTAAATAAGTTTATAATTTGATACTAATAAAATGCCCACTGCATTTCCTTTCCTTTTTTTATGTCAGTTTTTTAAAATACTTTGTGAATGTGGTTCAAGAGATTCACATACGCATTAAAATTTCTGCGATTGAACTCAATAAAGCTTCACAACTGTTAATTCTGTTCGTTTGTTGTTTCTCAGTCAGTATTGAGCAACATTAATTAAAATTGGAGGGTTTGCAGTGCAGGTGCTGCAGCTTTCTTGTGTGCACATACAGTAGTGGATAAGCTTGAGAGTGAAGATTAAGCCAAGCTCATAACTACCACAAGATCCTGTTTGAACACGTGTGGCTCAAACCTTGTTGTAATGAAGCTGATATAGCAAAGTGCAAACATTTATGGGTTGTATTAAGATTTTGACTTTATTTCAAGTCCTCTAATACAATTCAAGGTTTTTTGTTTAGATATTCTATGTATTGTACAATGAAGAGGCACACAGGGTGAAAGTCATTGGCTCTTAGGTGTAATAAAACTGCAGTTGTGTTCGAAGTTTACATACACACATAGGCATGAATGTGGTAATTTGCTGCTTTCCATGATTTCTTTGAACGGTTCTTTTTTCGGTGTGGATACAGAATATGTCTTTAATGACTTTAAAAACAATTCTGAATTTATTTTTGGCTCAGTTATATAAACATATTTCAGATATTTGGTTAAATCCCCCTTAGCAGGTTACACCTCAACTAGATGCTTTTGGTAGCCACAAACAAGCTTCTTGCTTAATTCTGGCTCGATATTTGACCACTACTCTTGGCAGAATTATTAAATTGATTGCATTTCCTGCTACTGACCTGTTGAGGGTACTTGAGTTGAGATCAGGATTTGGGAAGACCATTCCAGAGTGTTAGCTTGCTCTATTCATATCAAACAACCAGTATCTTTGTATGTATCTTTGGGATCATTGTTTTTTTTGGAACCCCAGATTGTGTCGAAGTTTCAACCATCTAGCTTTTGATTTGAGGTGAAGTTTCTGTGTACATTATACCACCTGCTTTATGCAGTGCCAAATCCTAAATAAATGCAAACTTGTGCACCCAACTCTTATTTTTTAAGAAGCACTTGTTTTTGACTTTTGGGGCTGGTCCCAAAAGCGAGTCACTCCCCATAGACTTCCATGTTAAAGGGCCCAACTTTACAGGATTATAAAAGCTAACTATAACAACATCATGGGGCCAAATGTATTTGGAATACATCTGAATACTGGGCACACATTTGACTAACAGGTGT